TTAGTATAATAGAAAAATTATGAAATATGAAAGTAGCTTCGAAAAATGTAATAATAATAATATAACTAGTACTCTATTTATAAAATAACAAAGATACTACCACATTTACTAGCGGCAACACTGTAACGCTGAAATTAATTTAGATAGACGGAGCAGGTGTCTTTATGCAAAAATCCAAATTTCCAAAAAAATTCCATAAACGTCTAACATGCCATGGCCGTGAATCACCCTGTATATGTTTCACGACCTTCATAATCAATCACTCCCCCATTAAGTTGTAAATAAATTGTGTAATAATGTTTTAAAGATTGTAACTCATAATATAAACTCTATTAGTTTAAAAAAACATTAGTTATGTTTTGAAATGAAATTACACTACCTCATATTTCTTTCTACAATTTACTCTGTTAGTTATCCTTTGAAGGATTATACCAATAAGCGAATTTATAGAGCGTGCAGGATATACAAGGCGTACTGGAACCTTTTCGATCAAAAGCATTGTTATTATAATTCAGAATATTTCCAAAATGTAGTAAGTAGCTTTGTTTATAATATTTCATATACATGATGTTTCAAAAAACATGTTCCATCTCTCGTTGGGAGATTCGTCGGGTAAAAATAAGATTTATTTTTCATATCAACATGGATCCAATTCTGCTTTATAAATTTTAATTTTTTTCGATTAATTATAATTTTCTTCCAAGTGCTTTTAGGGATTCGAATGGAGGAGTAAAAGTTATTATGAGTGTTACGCATTTTAATGGTAAAAAAAGTGTCGATAAATTCACCAGGGACGTGCATGGTTTACCAATGGAATATTTTTCTGAAAAAACATGTGCGCCACTGACTTTTTTTCCTCTTATTGGCAAAATTGATATTTTTTTGGTTAGTAATGACTGACACTTTTGTCGAATGTTTTCTTGTTTATTAGATAAAGTGGCATTCTAGATTTAAATATAACTGAGTTTCTTCCATAAGTACTCCATGATAACTTAATTCTTCTGTTGATTGGAAATATATTTGCGTATATAATAGTGTCTACCGGGTGCGTCTCAAAAGTGACTCACTCCTATAACTTTTTTTAGGATTGGTTGACGTATTCAATTGTTTTGATCACTTCCTGTTTCCCCGGAAATGACTACAACTTTCGATTTTTAAATGGCACCTTCGGTATGTTTTTACTTTATTCGATAGAAAATGTCACTCTGAATAGAATGGCATATCATATGTCAACTTTTGATATTTTTGCATACGGTTTATTTAAAATTATAACGTGCGATTCATATCGAAAATTTTACTCGAAATACCAAGTTTGTGGTATCAAATTATTCGTAAAAAATGCTTTTTCCAAATATGCTAATCAGCCACTCTCGTTCCATTTGAAAAAATTGAGTTATGATTGAAAATACGATTTGGGCATCTTTTAACCGGCCAGGACAAGACACTAAAAACATTTAGACGATCAAATCTATTTTTCCAAGGTCCCTTCACTAAAAATTAGTGTTTTTATGCCGGGACTACACCAAACTGTGCAAATTCGGCGGCCTGTGTTGCCGGCCACAGTCGGCGAGTCAGATTGCTAAAATCATTAAAAAGTTAGGGCAACCAAGATTCGGCGGCCCGACTCGTGCGGCTCGAAATTCTAGCGGCCAACTGTCGGTAAAGATCAAACAACATCGAGCAACTGGAGCGGGCGCGGCGACCAGTCCTAGTTCAGTCGTACGGCGAAATTTCTATAGAGACAAGCGTTAATTATTTCCTTTAAACAATGGATGGGGGAAGAAAAAACGAAAAAACATAGAACCGGAATGGGTGATAAGAAAGTCATATTATTTATTGAACTTTACCATAAAGAGGACAATTTATGAAATCCGAAAAATGAATTATATAAAAATAGAAATAAGCGGCATGATGTCAATATCAGACGCTTTGCATATTGAAAAATCAGAAATTGAACGTAAAATAAAAAATATTACTAGTCAGTTCTACAAAGAAAAGAAAAAAGTCGAAACTGAAAAATCTGGTTCTGTGTCTCAAGAAGTTTATAAGCCAAAATGGTTTGCTTATCAGTATTTGTTATTTTTAAGTGATAAAAATACACCACGGGAAAGTATTGATAATTTTCAGGTAAGTAAAACGATTAATTTATTTCATAAAAATCTATTATCTACTTTTTGATAGATACAATGCATATATAGGGTGTTTCAAACTAATAAAAACAAATAAAATAGGTAAGTAATGATTCAATCTCTTCGTAAAAATAAAGGATAGTTTGTTATACAGGGTGATCCGAACTGTATTCCGGAAACTTCGGCAACATATTCTGCAGATAAAAAGGCAGATAAAAATAAGTGAAAATGTTTGGTAAATGTATGTCCTAAAATGCTTAGTTTCGGAAATACAGGGTGTAGAAGTTTCATTTTTTTTAGACTTTTTCCAAATAATTTTTGAATTAACGACAATAATTGGATGAAAATTGGTGTCCCAAAAAAAATTTGATTTGATTTTGATGTCAATATGACCCCTATTTGTAAGGGGCGCCACCTACATGTGTTACGCCCGTTATATAAAAAACGTGGTAAATTTATATTTTTTTACTCGGTAATTTTATACAGGTACGGACGAAAAGTTACTGCTTTTCAACCCAATTAAAAAAATAGGTAGGTGGCGCCCTCTACAAGTAGGAGTCATATTGACATTAAAATCAAATTTCTCATGTCAAAAAACTTCTAGACACCAATTTTCATCTAAATATTGACGTTACTTCAGAAATTATTTGGAAAAAATCGAAATAAAAATGAAACTTCTACACCCTGTATCTCCGAAACTAAGCATTTTAGGACATACATTTATACGAACTTTTTTGCTTATCTGCAGAATATGCTACCAATTTCAGGAATACGGACCACACTGTATAAACGTTGAGTACAAGCCCGGTTTTAGGGAGGGTTAATGGGGGTAATTAGACCCCCCCAAGACCGATCAAACCTCAAAAAATTAAGTTTTTAACACGTAAAAAACAGTTTTTTGCGTGAAACAAATAGTTTTTTACTCGTAAAACATAGTTTTTATGTGTAACAAATAGTCTTACACGCAAACATATGTTTTTTACAGGCAAAGAAAATAATTTTTACGTGTAAAAAATATATTTTTTTATTTATTACTTTTTCAACATTTTAAACTACACTTTTTCAAACATGTCCTCCAAATTCTTCAAACGTTTCACTTCAAATATACGCACGTAGTGCACAAACATTTTTTTTTATTTAAAATTACTCCCCCTCTAGAATTTTTTTCTAAAACCGCCCTTGGTTGGGTAAAAACTCAAGTCATATTGGAGGATAATACAGTACAAAGACGCCTGAAAACTTTTTAATTTTTATCTTAAACACAAAAAATCATGGAATTAATAAAATATGTGGGACAATTATAGTTTATCTGAAGCAGTTGAAATAGATTGGGACTCTTAATTTCGGCACGGTCTTTGTCGGTCCCTTTGTCGGCATCATCGGGACAAAGGAATTAAGAGTCTCAGTAGTTCCAGTTGACATCGGAAATACTATACTACTATGAAAGCACACTATCTGCATATATTTTTTACTTTTTTAAGACGGTGACTGGGGTTGAAAGAATTGTCTGCCCTTTTATTCCTGTTTGTGTAAATTGACTCATGAAACTTACACAACTATATAAAATAATAAAACAAAATAAAAAAACTTGCCGATTTGAAATTAAAATATTAACAAATTATTTATAATTATTAAATGTAAATAATTACATGTTAACTTTACATGTAATTTAATAAAAATAATACTCTCTACTTCATATCTTGAAAACGATTTTTTTCAAAGTTTGTAAATTAACACATAGAAGAAGGTTAGTTCAAAATTCTGTTTAGGTCATGTATATTTACTATATTTTTTTAAAAATGTTGTTTGTAAGAAAATTTAACATTGGTAGAAAATAATAATATTTGAGAGCAGCTAACTAACGTTTAATTTTTAAAATAATTTTTTTGTTCCGATACGTTTATTTAATAATGATTTTATATTTTATTTTTTAATTTCAATTTGGTAAGTTTTTTGAAAAGACGTAGGAGGTGAGAAAAAGTATGTTTTAAAGCATCCTGTATAATCTACTTAGTACAACACTTCCGGTTGCTCGATATTCGTTTGATATTTACCGACATTTGGCCGCATAATTATTTGTGCAACCAGCAGCCGCACATCCCGGAAAACCTTTTCCCATTCCACCAATAAAAATAAAATTGAAATAAAAGCACAAATACCTATGGTTAAATATAAGAAAAAAAATCGAATTAAAATCTTCCGTAATACGGCCCTACGCGCCACCGGTGGAGGCTATGCATCGACTGAGGCTGACATCGACTGACATCGAATGAGGCTGACTGTCGGTCGCTTAATTCATTTAGCGCATCGTCGGAGTAGGGCGTTTTAAATTCGAGCGTGGGAAAAATTGGCGAGTGTCCAAGCTATATTATTCTGTAAGCTGTGGCCATGGCACTCTAGATTGAAATATAAAATACGATATTTTCTTAAGTGAGCATGTCAAAAGTTGACATGTGATATGTCATTCTATTCAGAATGTCATTTTCTATCGAATAAAGTAAAAAAATACCGAGGGTGCTATTTAAAAATCAAAAGGTGTAGGCATTTCCGGTGAAACAACAATTGAATACCTCAGTCAATCCTAATTTAGGTCATATACCACCATATCAAGTCTCGCTTTTTATCTAAAAAACTAAACAAGTTATAGGGGTGAGCCACTTTTGAGACGCACCCGGTATAATAGTTGACAAATTGTTATGCCAATTTTTAATAAATAATGCATATAGAGACCGATTTAACAAAAATTATCATTGATCCTCGTTTCAAAGCAGGTCACTACGACATCGTTCTTTTAACAATATGGTTTTCTACAATCAAATAATATTTAATTAATTTTTAGTCATAAGCTAACATTTTAAATTTGTATTTTAGACTGGTATATTAGATAATAGAAGAATTCGATATGAAAAATATACTGTGGTAACTGAGGATGGTTATATATTATCACTATTCAGGGTAGGAATGGGTAACAAAAAAGGTGTTGTCGTATTTCTTCATCCCTTGTCAGCAGACAATACCGTTTGGTTGATAGGAAGAAATGAATCTTACGGTAAGTTCAAAAAACTGTTTTAAACCTAGTCTACGTATAACCGTTGATTGAAGAAATAAAAAGATACGCAACCTTATGGGCGATTTCGTGGCACAGAACATGTCCGAGATGTAGCTGGCGTTACTGTCAATTAAAACCAAGCAAATTAGCCAAAGTGTATGAGGGTCTTTAGACCTCATAATAATCTTCAATTATTTTTGACTGATAACTTCTATAGTAGCATTATTTTTTTTAGTATCAACATTTTTGGATGCGGAATACGAAATTTGGTTGCCAAACTGGAGAGGTCTTAGATTTTCTAGAGGACATATCAGAAAGTTATCCTCGTTGGAGTATTGGAATTTTAGGTAATCAATATGGAGTCTAAAGGTAAGGAGAAATATCTACATGCATTAAAAATGGTCATAAAAAAGGGAAGGCTTAAGATGGCGCTGCTGTAGCAAAAACCTAAAATTTCAAACATGCGCCGAAATTTTTTAGAACAGGAAATAATTCAAAAGATATTTGACGTGAAGGCGCGGGTTTCAAAAAAAAATTTCATTTCAAAAAAAAAGTCACATGAAATAAATTATCGATCTTTATTCAGCAGTAATAGCTGGACCTCTAATATATAAAAATAATTGTTTTATATTCTAAAAAATAAAAGCAAATCTTTTTTGGGTAATGTTGATGATGTTACTTCTATTCTCTTATCTATGGTTCCTTTTCATTTTTTAGATTTATGCGTCATTAGCGCCACTGTGGTCATTTATGTACCCTTATTCTTCCCATTTTTGTGACCACTTTTTCAAATAATAAAGCCACAAAAGAGATTTTTCTCCTCATCTCTACACTCCATAGTAATCAACTGCATTACAAAGTGTATCTAAAAATTTTGTGCACTTATTGAAAAATACATTATTTTTCGTTGTTCAGAAACTTTTATTATTTGATAAAATCTTATGCCTATATCCTTAAAAATGCAAACATTTTGTTTCTTCTACAGAAGAGCATTCCAGCATTATGGTGAAGCCTACCTTACATGTTTAAATAATATCCCTGTATAATTGAGCCCCTTGTTATCTATTGTTGTCTCTGGTCCAAGATATCGTCACTAATTTTTTAATACTGTCATAGTCTCATTTTATATTTGGTCTTCTAATATTGTCATGCTAACTTAATTCTACTGTTTTAATTTCTGATTGTAGGGATCCTGACCTGTGTATTAGTTGTAATATACAGGGACCGGCAGTAGTGCGTCGATAGTTTTTTCGATAGTTTCAGTGATATTAATAAATAAATAAAAAATATATATTTTTCAGCCTTTCTTAAAAAAAAAATATTAAAAATACAAGAACTCGAGCAAGAACTGTTCTGAAATCAAAACTATATTAGATATATTTACTTTAGATGGTCTGTACTTGCTTTTCTATAAATATGGTAATCGAAATATCATACAGGATGTTCAATATTTTACGCCAAACTTTCTAAAATATAAAATAATTTTTCTTCGTTTTTTTTTTAAATGGAACACCCTGTATATTATATTTTCAATAGATGGAGAAATAAAAAATGAACATTTTTTGTATTTAGAGTATTTCAAAATTTTTAACGGATTTGCAGATATTCGCGGTTTTATATTTCATATGGCATTTTCCATAGTAAATTTCTATCAAAGCCACCCAATGATTTTTCTCTCGTAATTTATTTACCGTTGAGAGAGTCATATGAAATAATACTGCGTGTATCTGCGAAACCATTAAAAATTTTGAAATACTTTAAATGCAAAAAATGTTCATTTTTTAATTCTTTTTTTAATTTCCAGCATTATGGTGGAGCTGGGAAGAAAAAATATTTTATATTTTAGAAAGTTTGGCGTAGAATTTTGAACACCCTGTATGATTTAAGATTACGATATTTATACCAAAGTTAAGTATAGACCATCTAAAGTAAATACCTAATATAGTTTTGATTTCAGGGCAGTCCTTGTATTTGTAATATATTTATTAATATCTCTGAAACTATCTAAATATAGTTATTCATATCTTAGGATTATGTAAAATGATCTGAAAGGAAGCCAAAAATGGAATAATATACAGGGTGTTCCATTTAAAAAAAATCATCCCGATCCACTCACACTTTTTTGAGCCACCCTATAGAAGTTAAAATATTTTCCATAAATACATCCTTGTACATACTTTAGGTTTACACTTAAACAAAATTCCCAAGTTTTTTATTCTAGAAGCTACAGATGCCCGACGCACTATTGCCAGACCCTGTATATGCTCCGACTATTTTTTGTCTACCTAGAAGAGCCTCATATAATGTGATATTTAGATGCGATATTACTTATGAAGAAAAAAACACTAATTCACCACAATACACCAAAACACTTTATTTTTAAAGCGATTTGGAGTATTGTGGTAAATTAGTATTTAATTTTGCTGTTTTAACACCAAAGGTTCCAACCCCCCAACCCCCAACTGTAATAATTACTGAAGGTTGAATTTTGGCTAGATTATTATTTAGTACTATACCGGGTGCGTCTCAAAAGTGTCTCACCCCTATAATTTTTTTATTTTTTTAGATAAAAAAACGAGATTTAGTATGTTAGTAGGTATATGACATAAATTAGGATTGATTGACGTATTCAAATGTTTTCGATCACTTCCTGTTTCACCGGAAATTACTACAACTTTTGATTTTTAAATGGCACCCTCGGTATTTTTTTACTTTATTTGATAGAAAATGATATTCTGAATAGAATGACATATCATATGTCAACTTTTGACATTCTCGCTTAATAAAAAAATTGTATTTTAAAATTCAATCTAGAGTGCCATGCCATTAAAAACACTAATTCTTAATCAAGGAGCCTTGGAAAGATAGATTTGATCGTCTAATGTTTTTAGTGTCTTGTCATGGCCAGTTAGAAAATGCTCAAATCGTATTTTAATCATATCTCAATTTTTTCAAATGGAACGAGGGTGGCTCATTAGTATATTTGGAAAAACATTTTTTATGAATAATTTGATACCATACACTTAGTATTTCGAGTCAAATTTTCGTTACAAACCGCATTTGGCACAAAAATACATTCAAGTGCCATCTGAATTATTTAGGATTATTTTTTGAGAATTTAAACTCTGTTTATCTATCACCCACTCCAGTAGCGGCTCGTGAGTATACCGGGTGCGTCTAAAAGTGGTTCACCCCTATAACTTTTTATTTTTTCAGTTAAAAAACGAGATTTGGTATGTTAGTATATGACATAAATTAGGATTGATTGACGTATTCAATTGTTTTTTTTTCACTTTCTGTTTTACCGGAAATGACTTCAACTTGATTTTTAAATGGCACCCGCGGTATATTATTACTCTATTTTATAAAAATATGACATTTTTGACAAAGCATTTCTTTACGAATAATTTGGTACCACAAACTTGATAGTTTGAGTCAAATTTTCGTTATAAACCGCATGTTACAATTTGAAATAAACCATATGCGAAAATGTCAAAAGTTGACATTCATTCTATTCAGAGTGTCATTTTCTATCAAATAAAGTAAAAAAATACCGAGGGTGTCATTTAAAAATCATAAGTTGTAGTCATTTTCGTTTTTTATCTGAAAAAATAAAAAAGTTGATAAAATGAGCTACTTTTAAGACGCACCCGGTATATATGTGAGAGGTTTTCTTAAATTTGACTTGACAGCTAGAGTTCCTATATTTGTAGCTAAAAAAATATTAGTAATAATCTGAAACAACTGAAACTATACTTAACGTATGCGAAATTTTGTATTCTTTTAAGGATATGTTTTAGTTTGATCTAAAATATTAATAGTTTTGATGTCATGCGTCAATATTTTTGGACACACTATGTTACAATTATTATTTGAACAATATAATTTTATGTCAGTATACTTTTTCAGTTTTCATGAAATAGGATTATATGATTATTCCGCCATATTTAAATTTGTGCATTCCAAAACGCAACGTAAGGTGATCGCTATCAGTCACTCCATGGGATCGACAGCTTTGCTGATATACGCATCTTTGAAGGCCGAAGAGTCCAAAAAATTTGTCAAAATATTCATCCCCATGGGATCAGCTGCTTATATGACTCATACATTGCCACTAGCTAGATTACTAAGTTATGGTGTGCCCAATATCGTACAGGTAAGTATTATAATTATAATGTCTGATGATCATGGATTGATAAGTACCTATGTACAGGGTGGGTCAAATTGGACGCTTTTAAAGGGAAACACCCTTTTCTATATCAGAAAGACGAAAACGAAGGACACTATAACAAAATATCAAGTATATGCTATATTTTTGGAAAGGTAATTTTAAATTCTTTTTAATGAATTAAAGATATACAGGGTGTTACTATTAATTTTAAAAAAATTATACTTAAACCATTAAATTCTAAGTACAAAGGTGCTTTGGAAATGTCTTCATAAAAATACAAAATTTTCCATAGAAAAAAGTTACAGCGTATTGTGAAAAATGCACATTTTTGAAAAACACCCCGTAACTCTGATACTGTAACAGATATTGATGTGCGGTTTTCACCATCATGTTTTTGATAAAAATTAAGCTCCAGACACCGATATTAGTTTTCGTCTATCTCCCTTTAAAAGCGTCGAATTTGACCCACCCTGTACTTTTAGTAAATTTTAGTTGATTATTGTTTTATTTTCGTAGTAATTAAAGTCAGCCTTCTTTACTGTCATTAAATCTAATATATCCGCCAATTTCAGCATAGCCATTCCATCCTTTTCTCGAAGTAACCCAATTGTACTTTTGATCCCTCCTGTAACTTTGTTCCATATTCTATAATACAGGGTGGCGCCTCTCATACGACCCGGATGATTCAGGGTTTAGGAATTTTCTATAAGTGCAGACCTAAAGTAAAAATATGCATTAGGATGTATTGCAGGAAAACATTTTAACTTCTATAGGGTGGCTCAAAAAAGTGTGGGGATATTCGTGGTTTTATATTTAATCTGGCATTTTTTATATTAAATTTTTATCAAAGCCATCCAATGCTTTTTCCCTCGTATTTTACCGTTGAAAGAGCCATATGATATGATACTGCGTATATCTGCGAAACCATTAAAAATTTTGAAATACTTTGAATACAAAAAAATGTTTATTTTTTAAATCTCCATCTAATAAAAGAATAATATACAGGGTGTTCCGATTAAAAAACAAAGAAAAATTATTTTAAAATTCCTGTATGATTTAAGATTACAATATTTATAGCAAAGTAAATATAGACCATCTAAAGTTAATACCTAATATAGTTTTGATTTCAGGATTTCAGTTTTGATTTCAGTTTTCATTTCAGTTCTTGTATTTGTAATATTTTTTTTTAAGGAAGGTTAAAAAATATGTATTTTTTATTTATGAATATCTCTGAAATTATAGAAATATATTTATTCATATCTTAGGATTATCTCAAGTGATCTGAAAGGAAGCCAACAATGCAATAATATACAGGGTGTTCCATTTAAAAAAAATCATCCCGATACACTCACACTTTTTTGAGCCATCCTGCAGAAGTTAAAATATACATATTTTAGGTTTGCATTTTAAAAAAATTCTCTAGTTTTTATTCTAGGAGCTACAGATTGCCGGACCCTGTATATATTGTTTATATTATCATACTAATAAATTCTTTTATTTTCAGGCATGGCAAAGATATTCTAAAGTTGGTGCTCTATTCGAGTCGCATCGAAGTTTTCAAGATTTTATTAAAAAAGTCCTACTTTATTGGATTGCACCTATAATTGTACCATTTGTGCCAATTATAGCCACTGGAGAACCTAAAATGGCAAATCCAGTAAGTTGTTAAGACGTAGATACACTCATAACATGCAAACATCCTTTAAAACACAAAATACACTTAGATCCATTTTGACCCGCACTTAAGCTAATGAACACTCATACAATATACCATGTAAATGTGAGAAATTTTATGTTGGTGAAACATCTAGACCGTTAAAGAACATGAAGATTATCTATCAAAAAGAACGATATTTGCATATCTAAAATTTGTCTGCATTCATGAGACACAGGACAAAGAGCAGATTTTAATCATGCAAAATGCAAAAATAATAATGAAACAACCGATAGCCTCTAAACGAAAAATAAAAGAGGCTTTTTTAATTCAACCTAATAGAAGTAAATGTATTGCTTTACTATGGCAGCTACTATGGAGACAGAGAGTCGGTTAAATGGCGAAAAAATTGCAGTTTTGTGGAACCATAATTATGTGCCTTTCAGATTTTTTAAAAAGTGCATGGCTTGCGGCATTACGAAAAAAAACAAATTTTGGCTATTTTAAAAATTGTTCCTAATTTTATTATAATCTCTTTTAGACTATAACGTTTCAGATAAAAGCTGTAGATAATCACATCCCTAATGAGTTTGTGTTCTCCGATTTTTTCTAAAGCCTGTCATTTTTGACATACGACATTATGACGACACAACCATATGTTTTTTTAAATGGAAACCATAGTTGGCCATGACTTCGTAAAAAAGCGCCATTTTTTAAGCCTTTCAGCGATATAATCTATAATATGTTTTTTTTTTAAAAATTACTGCTCATAGACAATTCTTATCTTTCTTGACTAATATCACTTAGTTGGCATGTTATTCTTATTCTGTTATGGATTTATAACAGAAGAGTGGAAATACCAAAAGGGGTAAGTGCCAAATTTTTCAATATTAAGTTATTGTATTAGAAACGTAATAAATACCATACTGCATGTCTTAACAAAAGTTATAAGTGCCTAGCGAAAGCATCCATTTTTCATGTATCTTATATGTATTTTAAAAGATATTTTAAAAATTTATTATTTTCAATTTTGGCACTTGCCCCCTTTGGTATTTCCACTCTTCAACTTATAAAAAGACAGAATATATTTTTAAACGGTTCTTTACAATTTACATTACACAAACAGAAACTTAAAAAAATAATATCACTACATACAGTTTAAGTTATTTTAGAAAATGATCAAAAAATCCGCCATTGTTTTCTATTTGATTTTAGGAATATATACCTATGACGTTTTCCATTTCATTTCAACCCATCTGCATAAAAATTCTGTACCATTACGCACAACTTATGCACAATGGAAATAAGTTCTCCATGTACGATTATGGAGAAAAATCTAACTTGAAACGTTACAATTCCAAGGAGCCACCTGAATATCCATTGGAAAATATTTCTGTTCCAGTTTATGTTGTCTATGGCACAACAGACGAACTGGGTGACGTCAAAGTAGGTATCTCTTACTGAAAAAAGAAGAATGGAAGGAATTAATGACTATCTAAATATAATACAAATTAAAAATAATACAGAAATTATGAAGCTTCATTCAAAACCTCGAAATTAGTCGAATAAATTAGCGGTTTCAATTAGCGTAGAAGTTGTTCCTCTAATTTCAATGTAAGCCTTCAGAACGTCAAAAGTGGTAGTAATTTTCAAGTAGTAGAAAAAGTTAACAAACTCTTATTTTTTTTCTAGTAATTATACTTCAAAATTTGCTGTATCATCCGTTTAATTAGTATCAATTAGTATCATCATCCTGTATCAATTAGTATTCATACCGTATCAATTAGTATCATCCGTTAACAGAAATTGTGGTTAGAAACAAAAAAGTTTTATTAATATGACTTTCCATAAGGACACAACGAACTACCGCAAGCTGTTGCTAATATATTTCATTAATTTTAATTGAATTGAAGTGTAAAGTTTCAGTCTGAAACTCGAAGTTAGTGGAATAGATTAGTGGTTTCGATTAAACTTTATACATTTTAGTTTTCGATCATTCACATTGTCTAAAAGCTTGCAGTAGTCAGTTGTATCCATAGAGCAAGCCTAATATTTAGTTTATAAAACAATTAAATTTTGATTTGTAACCACAACTTCTCTTGACGGATGATAATCAAAGGCCAAAATGACATTTTCCGCAAATTGTGAAGTATAATTAGTGGAAAAGTTAAAAGTTTGTTAACTTCTTCTACTGATAGATAATGACTACCACTAATTTTGACGTTCTGAATGCTTACACTGAAATTAGAGGAACAAACTTCTACGCTAATTGAAACCACTAATTTCAACGTTCTGAATGAAGCTTAAATTTTCATTCTAAACCTCGAAATTAGTGGAATAAATTAGCGGTTTCAATTTGCGTAGAAGTTTGTTCCTCTAATTTCAGTGTAAGCATTCAGAACGTCAAAATTAGTGGTTGTAATTTTCATGTAGTAGAAAAAGTTAATAAACTTTTAATTTTTTTCACTAATTATACTTCAAAATTTGCAAATATGTAATGTAATTTTGACCTTTTATTATCATCCATTAAGAGAAATTGTGGTTAGCAATAACAAGTTTAGTGTTTTATAAGTTAACTAGTTGAAGCCTGGCGCATCCGCCACATCAGGAAAAAAAAATACTTTTTATTTTTTTTAATTAAATGAAAAACAAAAAATCCAGCGACGACAGTTTTTAGAAGAGCCAATTAGCTATCTTTTAGTAAAAAAAGCAACTTTCTAGAGCAAGTCGTTACTTCTGTAGAGACGACACAGATAAACATTAGCATTTTATATATGTAGATTATTAGACTTTCCATAATGATACAAGGGACTACCGCAAGCTGTTGCTAAGATATTATATTAATTTTAATTGAACTGAAGTGTAAAGTTTCATTCTGAACCTCAAATTTAGTGGAATAAATTAGCGGTTTCAATTAGCATTGCAGAAGTTTTTCCTCTAATTCTATGTAAGCATTCAGAACGTCAAAATTAGTGGAAAAAGTTAACGTTTAACTTTTCCAATTAATTATTCTTAAAAATTCGCAAGTAATGTCATTTCGGCCTTTAATTGTCATTCGCCAAGAGAAATTGTAGTTAGAAATAAAAAGTTCACTAATTTCGAGATTCTGAATGAGGCGTAATACATAATAAATTTTACTGTGTTATTTGAATTTTAGGATACTGAATATTTACTGGAAAAACTTCCCGAATCGGTCAAAATATATGGTAAACTTAAACTGGAGGGCTATAGTCATGTCGATTTCTTATGGGCTAAAGATGTAAAAGAAAAAATTCTACAAAAACTAGTAAAATTATTAGAAAAAATATATAATTAAGTATTAACAATCAAAAATTAAATTATTAACTACTTGGGTATGTGTTTTTGTATTTCCTAATATTTCTTTATGCAAGACAGTTTTTAACCTTTCACTTGCAAATACCTACGAGTATAGCATTTAGAACTAACCTCTTTAAAACCGTCTCAGATACTGGTTTTTGTTGAAGCCCTGAGACTGTATGATGAGTTATAACTCAACAAAGGGGGACTCAATAGGTCTCCCGGGTGTGCGTCTCGAAAGTGGCTCACCCCCTATAACTTTTTTATTTTTTCAGACAAAAAACGAGATTTGGTATGTTAGTATATGACATAAATTAGGATTGATTGACGTATTCTAGATTACTACAATTTTTGATTTTTAAATGGCACCCTCGGTATATTTCTACTTTATTCGATAGAAAATGACACTCTGAATATTATGACACTCATTAATATGTGCCACGGCTATGTCAAAAATATTAATTTTTAATCAAGGAGCCTTGGAAAAATAGTTTTGATCGTCTAATGTTTTTCGTGTCTTATCTTGACCGGTTAAAAGATGCCCAAATCGTATTTTTAATCATATCCCCATTTTTTTCAAATGGAACAAGGGTAGCTCATTAGCATATTTAGAAAAAACATTTTTTTACGAATAATTTGGTACCACACACTTGGTATTTCGAGTCAAATTGTCATTATGAACCGAATGTTACAATTTCAAATAAACCATATGCGAAAATGTCAAAAGTTGACATATGATATGCCATTCTATTCAGAGTGTCATTTTTTATCAAATAAAGTAGAAATATACCGAGGCGAGGATGTCATTTAAAAATCGGAAGTTGTAGTCATTTCCGGTGAAACAGAAAGTGACCAAAAACAATTCCATCAAGCTTAATTTATGTCATATACAGGGTTGTTCACCACATACGACACGGAGTATTGTAGCTAAACGATTATATTTTTACAAATTTCAAGTTTTGGGTTCGATGAAGGACTATTAGAGGTACAATTTAAAAATAATTTGACAAGATACAGAGTGTCCCAAATAAGTAAAAAATATCAAAGTTGTATTTTTTTAAATGGAATACCCTTTATATTATTACATTTTTAGTTTCTACGATTAAAATAAAGGTAAATTTGATTTGAAAGGTTTTGAATTTTTTGGTTGATTGAAAGGTTTATTATATTTAAACCTTATCGTTTTTGAAATATTTTCAATTTTGGGAAATTGCAGTAAAAATTTCAAGGCTTCATTGCTCCAATATTATCCCAGGGTATCAAAGTTTTTAATACTAAATATTTACTGAAGTTTATTTATTGATCAGTTATTGTGTTGCAATAATAAAAATAATACTACCTTACAGAGTGTCTAAAAATTTATTTTAAATAATTTCTAGCTTTAAACGCCAATAACTTCTTTAGTTTAAATAGAACGCCCTGTATATTTTAGGAGAATCAGATGCACAATTTAATTGTCTATCAAATTGTATTATACCATTTTTTACCTATCCCTTCAAGTTTTCGTAGAAAATGCATTTTCTTATAATTTAGACCCTATTTATCAATATACCCATGGAAAATTGACATTTTAGATTGTTTTTAAAGCAACAAATGTACAAAATGTACTAGGTTAGTAATATTATCGTTTTTAGCAAAACGATAATATTACTAGCCCATTTGTATGCAAAAAACTATTTAAATCTTTATAAAAGAGTATATCATTGTACATATACTAATTAATTACATACTTAATTGTGTTCGTTAATAAATTATTCTAAATAAATGTGGATTTGAGTCAGAAATCATTATAATAATAAGTTATCAAAATTAAAGTCTCTGTAGTTATAAATAAGTATTTATTAAAAAATGAAATATCATTTTTAAGGTGTTTCTTTTTATCACACTGTCTAATACCCATACAAAATTCATTTTTTTAGTATTTGGAGCAATTATTATTAATCAACGCAAACAGTCAGTTAATGTAGTTTGAATACTGGAATCATATTAATTAACAAATATTTAAACAGTTTTTTTATTTTTTAATAAAATAAACAAATTATATCGACAATATTAGTATCTGTACTCTTTAAAAATTTGGTACATCTTTAAAAATAATCTAAAATGTCAATATTCCATGGGTATATTGATAAATAAGTTCTAAATTACAAGAAAATGCATTTTCTACGGAAACTTAAAGAGATAGGTAAAAAATGGTATAATATAATTTGATAGACAATTAAACTGTGCATCTGATTCTCGTAAAATATACAAGGTGTTCCGTTTAAATTAAACAAGTTATTGCCGTTTGATGCTAATAATTATTTAAAATAAATTTTTAGGCACTCTGTATAAGGTAGTATTATTTTTATTATTGCAACAAAATAACTGATCAATAAATAAACTTCAGTAAATATTTAGTATTAAAAACTTTGATACCCTTGGAGAAATGAAGCCTTAAAATTTTTACTGCAATTTCATAAAATTGAAAATATTTCAAAAACGGTAAGGTTTAAGTATAATAAACCTTAATCAAATTTACTTTAATTATTTGGGACACTCTGTATCTTGTAAAATTATTTTTAAATTGTACCTCTAATAGTCCTTCATCGAAACCAAAATTTACAATTTGTAAAAATCTCACCGTTTAGCTACAATACTCCGTGTCGTATGTGGTGAACAACCCTGTATAGTCTGTCCAACGACAAGATCCTATACAGTGATAGATGTGTCTGTCATTTTATTTTCAAATTAGTTTATTTTATTTTACAAAGAATTAAGTTGGTACAATTGGAACGCATAGCAGAAAATTAATATATTTAAAATTTGAGTGACAAGTGATTACTTCAAAATATTGTGAAAAAAACTGTATAAAATTGAGAAAATCTAATCGAGTTATTTTATTAAAAACAATTACAGTATGTATTAATACAAAACAAGCAAAGGTTTATTTAAAAAAAAAACACCACATACCAAAAAAGATATAAAAAAGATTTCCGGCTTTCAAGCTCAACCAACTTCCTGCATTTATTGTTACATTTATCAATATAATTATTCAATATAACTATTATTTACCTATCGTATGCTGCTATTTTACAAACACTCCAGTTTTTGGTATCATATACAAGATAGTATACAAACTTTATTTGTGGCTAATACATCTCTCTGGCCATAATCTCTGGCAAACTGTCTCTGACGGTCTCAGGGCACCGAATATTAACTGTAAGCTATGGTCTGGGTCAACACTTAATTTTTCCGGGCGTTTTCCTCCACTTAACTTTAAAAAACACGAAAGACACGTAATAAGACAGTCCAAAATGCAAAATACAAAATATTTATCATTTCTATTTGACATAATTTGACACAAAATTATAACCTATAAATTGGGAAGAGTTTGATAACTCTCAGAAATCTTAAGACGAGTTCACACCTTTGTTCACACGCTTCGGCGTTCGTTTGTACCAATAATATTGAAATATGATCTGTCATTTTTGAAATAAACCAATAAAGCCGGTTAAAACAACAAGAATGCTGGATTTATATATAAACCCATCCATAGTTAACTTAAAAAATATTAGAAACTTTTTTTAGTTAAATAAATGGATTGGTATGGACGTCATCTGCTTTTTTTCTGTCATCGTCTGTCGAAATCTTACCCGAGAAAAAAAACAGAGTATACATACCAAATCTGGTTTTTTTATTTGAAAAAATAAAAAAGTTATAAAGGTGAGTCGCGAAAAGTGGGTGCCCTGTGGCGTAGAGGTACAGGCTCTCGTCTACCAATCTGAAGGTAGGGGTTCGAATCCCACACCCGGCATTGCATCAGCCGACTATTTTTATTAAAATAAAAATAGTTTGGGTACCTAAGTCGACTCAGCCTTAAATGAGTACTTGGGATTCACAATCCTGAGGCAATAATAGGCGGTTGAAGCGTAGTGCTAGCCACATTACCTTCCTTGTATACCGAACGGATCTAGTATAGCAAGCTGTACCTTGCTACTCCCAAGGCGTTAAACGCTATATACGGGAGCTATTATTATATTATAAAGGTGAGTAACTATTGAGATGCACTCGGTATAAGATCGCGATCAGCTCTAAACATATGTCACCCTGTGTATATACCTACCCGTATCACTATATTTATTTTACCCAACCCTGCTCGTAATAAAGCGTGTAAAACATTTAAACAACACCCCCCTCACCCCTTTAGTGCGCCCCTGGTAGGCGATAGAGGCCCCTCTATATCGCTCACCATGTCCAATAAACGGTTTCGTAATAGAGCAACATTAGCCGATTATTTAGTGGACATAATACATAGACGGCGGCGTAACAAGGGCGATAATTAATGAGCGTCGTGGTAGCTCCGCCCCTGGGCGTGCACAGGTAAATGCCGGCCCACAGGTAGAGCGGCGAGTTGCGGCAGTGCGTGCGCGGTCAGCCTGATGTAAGAAACGCGGCGGTACATATTATGTTGAATTTATAATTTGACGTATTTATTGTCGACAGAGACAGTTTTTTATACTATACATACTTGCTTTTTTATTATACAAAATACATCTTTTGATTAGGGTATAAGGTTGCTTTCTACTTCTTATATCTTGAATTTGTGTTTATTTTGATATGTTTCTATGCTGGATAAAAAAGCAGTAGTGTGCGGTTTGTATTGGATAGTGCGAACAGTTTACTATTTGTGACTTACTTATTATAGACAATAGAAACGCGGAACTCGTTATTCTTATTTATTTTGGTAAGTAAATAAATTGATTTATTTGCAAACTTATGGTTAAGATTCATTCGGAACTTCGTAATTAGTGGAATAAATTAGTTAGTTTTAATCCACTAATTTCGAGGTTCTGAATGTAACTTTAGCATATTATAGAACGTTAGAATTAGTGGTAGTAAAGCTTCATTCAAAACCTCCAAATTAGTGGAATAAATTAGTGGTTTCAATTAGCGTAGAAGTTTGTTCCCCTAATTTCAATGTAATCATTCAGAACATCAATTAGTGATAGTAATTTTCAATTAGTGTAAAAAGTTAACAAACGTTGACTTTTCCAAAATTATACTTCAAAATTTGCGATGAATGTCATTTTGGCCTTTGCTTAT